ATAAATTTAATAAAAAAAAAGTCCCATGCTAAGCAGAGCTTGTATTATGGGTACTAGACAACTGATATAAGTATATTTATCTGTTTTTGTTTTATAAATACATATATAATATACATAAAAAATATCCAGATTGGTAACAAACAGTCTTAGTCATGAATACAAATGTTTGTACCGTGCGAGGAATCGAACCCGCGATCATTGGAAGTAAAGCGGTGTGCTAAACTGCTAGACTCACTCTTTTTTTTTTACTATGATGGTGGCAAATAAGCATACTGCCCATCTGATGGTAAATGGTTACCGTAGTCTATGGACGCCTGAAACACCAGGGGTGTCACATACGCGTTGCCGACACTTAAGAAACCTTAATATATGCTTCTTGAAAAACCCCATGCTGGTCTCGTGGAAAACCTCGGCAGGTTCATTCCGCAATCTAAGTGTACGCGGGAGGAAGCTCCTCTGAATCCGCACTGTCCGAGACCACTAGGGTTCTAGAGTGTGGGAATGAATTCCCTGTCGATGGCGAGCAGTGTGATGGTTCTACCCTATCTTTGGCTCTATGTGAGATTGTAAACTACTGAGCCTACTGTAAACCTTATCTAGGATGTAACTTTAGCAATAACATCCTAAATATTTGTTTATAATATCGATCTCCCATCCAATTCAAACGGGGATCGAAATTGTGACGGCCTGATCTGAGGTTCAAACCTCTAGCGGTGGCCTCAGACTAAAGTCGTATCCGTCAGGCGGGAGTTGGCCTTCAGCAGCTCCATAAGTCCTTCCTTTGGCTTGGAGTGTCATCTGCACTCGCCCCCTATCGTCCGGTGAAGCTGTAAAGGCCAGCTGCGGCCAACAGCATTAGAGTAGTCCGAAAAAAAAACAGAATAGCACAGAGGATTCTTTCCTTCTGAGTTGCAAACCGTTTTGTCTCGATTACTAACTTTTAATTTTATTATAAAGAGAAATTGTAACATTTCATTATAAGAAGTTTATTATTATTATTATAATATATTATTATTTCTATTTCTATATTTATTATAATTCAATTGATAAATAATTTAAATGACGTATAATGAGTGGAGTAACTTGAAACATCATGCTCTCCATAAAGTTCAAACTTGTGGCGGCGTGGTGGGACGGGTCGATGTGCTCCCTCTAATATTAAGCGCAATGATGGCTGGCTCATCCGTCATATTCGTGAACGAGTGCTACTTGTGGGGACTGGTCTATTTGGGTTACGAACACTCATTAGACTGCTTTAGCAATAGCATATGAATATTTATTTAAAAAATAATACGAGCTGAGTTTCTAGTCAGTTCTTCTAATCTCGAAATCATTTCGGTAGATTTGACATATCATCAGAGTCTGTAATAGACCTACATGAATAAAGGTGTTTTGAATTTTGAATTGAATTTACAAGAAACTATTCTCAACTGATCTCCCTCTTTTCTGAAATTTGTATCAGCTTTTGTACTAAAATCTAAATATATATAACTCAAAGGTGACTGACTGACATAGTGATCTATCAACGTACAGCCCAAACCACGGGACGGATCGGACTAAAATTTGGAGATGTTATGACGTAGGCATCCGCTAAGAAAGGATTTTGATTAATTCTACCCCCAAGGGGATAAAATAGGGGATGAAAGTTTGTATGAAACTTTGTAAATTTTAAACCAATCGGGCTGAGTCTCTGCATGCATAAAGCTACTATGACGTAGGCATCCCCTAAGAAAGGATTTTGATAAATTTCACCTCTAAGAGGATAAAATAGGTGATGAAAGTTTGTATAAATCTTAGATTTTCGACTACTGAAATTAAAGATTGAAGCTACTATAATGAAGACGTTCCCTTAAATAGGATTTTGATAAATTCAACCCCCATGGGGAAAATAAGGGATGATGCAGGATGTAAATGTATTACTTTGAACCTATCAGTACCTAATGGAACGAATAAATTAAGACGCAACATAAAAATTTTTAGTTCTTTAGGCTACTTTTATTTTACAAAAATATTTTTTTTATTTAAATTCCACGCGGACGAAGTCGCGGGAACAGCTAGATAAATATAAAATATTTTCATATTGTACATGAGAATTCTATTCAACAATTCCACATAAAATAGGAGCTGTTTACGTAATAATTTGATTACGTTTGTGCTAGTTATAGCAAACCTAATAAAATAATATTAATATTGTATGAGAACATGTCTGTCCCACAAGTTATTAGGACAATCTTTTTACTGTATATATTTCTACTAGCTGACCTATTTGTGCTCTTTTTTGCCTGTGTCGTAAAAGTTTGCTACCTACAACAAAAATGTTTTGTAGTATTATAGGACACAGAACTAAATATTGAATTATTCGAATATTCTAGAGAAATTTCGATCATTCGGACGTTCAATCAAGAGTTTATTACGATCAGAAGATCCTATTACTTGTACGGCTTCGATTTGGGTATAGACATGTTTTATCATATCCACGAAATTTGGGACCAAAACTACACCATCTCATTTCATACCCTTTTCCTATACAGAATACCATACGTTTCGTTATTTATTCTGATATTCAATAAAATCACATATTATATTGGCACAGAAATACGAATATAATATAAACTTATAGTTAACAACATCTTTGATGTTTCCCAAAATGTAGGCATATGAGAAAATGTGACATTCTTGCAGGCTGGTTATACGTTATAAACATCCCAGGCATCAAAGCTCATTTTAATATTATCTCGTAATAAAATTATTATGCTGTGGAATCGACGAGGAATTAAAACATCACGAAGAGACCGATGCCTGTGGAATATTGACCTTCGAAGTACACCAGGTGTCTTACTAACCTGAGAGTTGTTTGTACTAAGAGTTACACTGCTTACCATAATTCGCAGTGAGAACAAGAGACCTATATAGAATATTAAGTATCATAAAGTGAGACAAAGTGATATGAAATCACGAGAAGTGGCACAAAGTGACACAAAGTGCCTTATCGTGACATATAGTGCCGCACAGTGACGCAACGTGCCGCACAGTGTCACAAAGTGCGCCAAAGTGACGCAAATACCAATTTAACGCATAATGACACGAAATGCGCCAAAATAACGCGAAGTGCCGCAGAGTACCGCACAGTGCTGCAAAGTGACACGAAGTGCGCCAAAGTGACGCAAAGTGACGCAGAGTGTTGCACAGTGCCACAAAGTGATACAGAGTGGGCCAAAGTGACGATAAGTGACGCAAAGTGCTGCAGAGTACCGTAAAGTGGCACAAAGAGCTCCAAAGTGACACAAAGTGCTCCAAAGCGACGTAAAGCGCCACAACGAGCCCCACAATACATCAAAGTACCGCACAGTGCCGCACAGTGTCACAAAGTGCGCCAAAGTGACGCAAAGTGCCGCAGAGTGTTGCACAGTGCCACAAAGTGACACAGAGTGGGCCAAAGTGACGAAAAGTGACGCAAAGTGCCGCAGAGTGTTGCACAGTGCCACAAAGTGACACAGAGTGGGCCAAAGTGACGCAATGTGCCGCAAAGTATCGCACAGTGTTGAAGTGATACAAAGTGCTTCAAACACACAGTGCCGCAAAGTGACACAAAGTGCCGTAGAGTACCGCACAGTGCCATAAAGTGACACAAAGTGCATAAAAGTGCCACAGAGTACCACAGAGTACCGTAAAGTGACACAAAGTGCTCCAAAGTGACGTAAAGTGCCGCAAAGAGCCGCACAATGCCGCATAGTGATGTATAAAATGAAGTGACCATTCTTGCAATGAATTTCAGTGAAGTGACGTGAATTGACAATTATCGGAAATTTGTAATATGAAGTACTAGTTATTAATAAATAAGAGTACTAATATAATATGAAGAACAGTATCGCAGCCTTTTCCATGTTGGCTAAGTCTGTCTTATTTACAATGATACCCACTTCAACGCGTGCCTATTAATTTAACAAGATTTGGGTATTACATTACCATATCTAAGGCAGTTACAGCTACCTACAACGCTACAATTTACGATATTCCTATATTTATTCGTTATTTTGGGAGTACCTAATCTATATATCTTAAACACCAATTGACAGTATTTATTCAATGCAGGATATGGGACACAGGTACCTACAAATAATAATTGCATTTAATAATGTCTAGTAAGACAAATCTAATATTGTGTACATTTTCCTATTGTCATTTAGAATATAAGATCAATATTTTTATGTACATACGAGAATAGTCAGACTATTATCTAAATATATATAACTCAAAGGTGACTGACATAGTGATCTATCAACGCACAGCCCAAACCACTGGACGGATCGGGCTGAAATTTGGCATGCAGGTAGATGTTATGACGTAGGCATCTGCTAAGAAAGGATTTTGATTAATTCTACCCCCAAGGGGATAAAATAGGGATGAAAGTTTGTATGAAATATTGTCAATTTTAAACCGATCGGGCTGAGACTTTGCATGCATAAAGCTACTATGACGTAGGCATCCCCTAAGAAATGATTTTGATAAATTCTACCCCTAAGAGGATAAATTAAGTCGCCGCTGTCTGTTAGCTTATATCTTTTAAATTACGCAACCGATTTTAATGCAGTTTTCAGTAATAGATAGAGTGATTCAAGAGGAAGGTTTTTATGTATAATACATATGTGTTATATTGTAGAAAAACAGATAAATTAAAAGTTTTGTAATGCATCCGTACATAGACATTCCAATATTATTTATATGGATGGACCATATAAATAAAATTGGAATGTCTGTTTGTAATACTGAAATAACTGTTTTTACTGCATGCATATGAATATAAATATGGTACATACACCAAAATAACATTGACTATTTTTGTCTATCTGTCTGTTTGTACCCACTAATCTCTGAAATGGAATAAAAACAAAATTATGTACTATGTCACTTCACTGTCTACCATCTTACCATTAAACGCATTTTTCCAGTCACAAATAGTTTTACTACATATTTCTACAACAATTAATAACTGCTCTTACCATTGTCGTCAGGTTTTGGTTTAGGCTCATTCCACTTCTGTGTCTCGCAGCTACCAAATGCGACGTAGAATGTATTGGTAGCGACATAAATGGCTGACGCCATAAAAAATACTTTACGCCATTCCCTTGGCTCGGTCTGAAAGCAAATATATATATATATATATATATATATAAATGAATTGGTGTTCGTTAGTCTCGCTAAAAAAGGGGATTGTTAGTAATGTGGATTGATTATCTTATACCTAGCAATGTACCATGTCAGGTTGACCTCCACGCGGTTCCTCCTGGAAACCATCGTGATATATTCTTGGTGAATGTGTCACTAACTGACCTGACTTCATGTTCATCTTATCATCCTCCACTGGTGCCCCGCCAGCGTAAACCGTTAGCGCAGGCGGGTGCACCGTTCCATTATCATAATAAAAAAACAACAGCTGAAGCGATTTTCCATGAATATTTCAAGACAAAAATTACCTATAATTTTTGTCTTGAAATATTCATGGAAATCCAGGGAAGGTGTAAACGGTGATAAAATATGAAGAAAATGCATTTAAAATAGTAAAAACAACAATTATATTTTCCCATACTGATACCTGTTAAACAGGGTGCGTACAGAAATTTATTGCGTAACTAAACTTCTAAAAACTTTTTACATATTTACTTTTGAGGCGTAACCGAGTTCGCGGGGTAAGCTAGTGAATAATAATAATCTATACATATAAAAAAATTGGAGTGTCTGTTTGTAATATGGAAATAACCGTTCTATACTACATGCATATGAATATAAATACGGTACATACACCAAAATAATATTTTTTACAATTTTGCTTATCTGTCTGTTTGTTCCGGCTGATCTCTGAAATGGCTGGACCGATTTTGACGGGACTTTTTTTGGCTGGTAGCTGATGTGAACTTAGGCTACTTTTTTTTTAGATAGCTAGTACCTAATAAAAGTAAAATATTTTTCATTTACTATATATATATATATATATATATATATATAGAATTAGATGTTTAACAAGAAAGAATTTGCCGAAATATTAATGCTGGTATTGGTAATGCTGGGATACTGGACTTAGATTAACTCTATACATTTACTCTTATTTAGTTACCCAACCATTTGGTTGTTTATTGACTCTAATGAATTTGTTGAAAATTCGAAGTTTCAACTAAATCATTTAAAAGAGCAACACGCAAGTTTCTTTCATCTTCTTCCAGTGAAATTGGAACAACTGTCAGTTCGGAATGATTTCCAGATGAGAAGAACTGACAAGAAACTCTGCTCGTATTCTTTTCAAAAAAATGTTGTACATGTTTACAATAAATACACAGTCATTTCAATTAGGATTATTTATATATATTATACTAGCTTTTGCCCGCGGCTTCGCTCGCGTAGTAGTAAGTATTATTATTAATTAGGTATAGTTTTTGCGGCTTTACTTTTATTTAGCGTGTGTAAAAAATTAGGGCCTACAAAATCTAAGAGGGGATGTAAGTTTGTATAAATCTTTATACAAACTTTCATCCCCTATTTTATCCCCTTAGGGGTGGAATTTATCAGAATTCTTTCTTAGGGGATACCTACGTCATAGTAGCTATATGCATGCAAAGTCTCAGCCCGATCGGTTTAAAATTGACAAAGTTTCATACAAACTTTCATCCCCTATTATATCCCTTTGGGGGTAGAATGAGTCAAAATTCTTTCTTAGCGGATGCCTACGGCATAACATCTACCTGCATGCCAAATTTCAGCCCGATCCGTACCGTGGTTTGGGCTGTGCGTTGATAGATCACTACGTCAGTCAGTCACCTTTAAGTTATATATTAGATTACAGAACTAACCTCATCTTTAAGTAATGAACCAGCAACTTTCGGTGCCATTGTACCCATGTTGCTGGAGATATAGTCCGTGACGCCCATCAGTGTTCCTGCGAAGTTTGGAGCAATGTCCAAATGCGCCAACTGTTAAAAAAAATAACAAAATCAGTTCTTTAATATACTGAAATGACTCCAGAATTTTACTGGCTGACTGTACTATGGGAAAAAAAAAAACAGTTATTAAATATGCTGCAATAGCTCCAGAATTCTATTGGTTGAGCTCACTATACCATGGGAAACAAATATCTTCGCACGGGTGTGCATTATACCTATATATAAACCTTCCAATTCCTTTTAAAAAAATTAAATGCCCAATTTACATAGAGACAGATAAACAGCGACAGCGACTTTATTTTATACTATGTAATGAAGAATGTGAAATAAAAACATATTATGCAGCGCGGAGAGTGTAAACACGAGTAAACACGAATGGAAACACTTCCCATGCCATTGGCGCTGCCACTCGCGCTGCACAGCGATCTCTCGATTGTCGGTTTTTCGTGCGCGAGTCAAAGGACTGGCATCGCGAGTAGCAGCGTGTTTTTGCATTCAACCCTCTCGCTCAGTTGTCGCCCGGCAATACTTCCAGCAGCGCGAGTGGCAGGGGAAGCGGCTGAATGTAAACGTAGCATTATATTATACTATATATATATATATATATAAGGGTATATTAAGGTTTCTTAAGGGTCGGCAACGCGTATGTGACACCCCTGGTGTTTCAGGCGTCCATAGGCTACGGTAACCGTTTACCATCAGATGGGCCGTATGCTTGTTTGCCACCTAAGTGGTATAAAAAAATATATATAAACAAATAGAACAACAATTGAATAGAGTAGCCTTTTTAACACATACAATATTTGGGAATGGATAGAAAAGCAATGGAATCGACTTGATTAATGTTTTTTCGCTTGGTAACTAGAACGTATTTCTAGAACTATCGATTACACATTCCAGAAGCAGTACTGTGAAGGTTTTTGCTTATAAAAAAATATGATTCGGGACGTTTTATTTATAGGTCCGCCGGGATAGCGCCGGCATGGCGGACACGACTTCCTTACTGACGGTTTTATAAGCTTTACATAAAAAATGGAGCTCGGGAGATGAAGTCGACAAGAGAGACGCAACTTTCCGTCGCACAGTTGATCCTTACTAACATTATAAATGAGAAAGTAGGTATGTTTGTTACGCTTTCATGACAAAACTACTGAATCGGTCGTCATGAAATTTTATACACATGTTCTTGGGGGTCTTAGAATTAACATAGGATATTTTTTTATTTAAAAAAAAAACAAATGTTAATATATAAAAAACAATAAATAAAGTATCAACATTTTCAGCAGCAGTCAGTAATGAAGTTATAAATCATATATTTATTATAGACTCAATGCGAGGGAAGCCGCAGGTAATAACTAGTATTATATAAATTTTATACGACTCGTGTTTTAAGCCACAATCGCGGACCGCCCCGTGCGTTTATCTAGAAACTTTGGATCAGGAGGATCATCAGTTTTTTGTCCTTACAAAAATAGAAAAAAATCGTAACTGTGACCTCACCAAAATTCCAGTGTAATGGCCTGCGTTGAGACCCGCTGCTAATGCGAGTAGTAACAGCACTATTTTGACGTCAGCCGGAGCATAAGCTAGTCCAATTAAAATTATAGCAGGACCATACATGCCTGAAATGATATTGAATAACAAATAGAAATATTAGAATAGAATAGAATAAATTCAAATTCAAATTCAAAATATCTTTATTCATGTAGGTCTATTACAGACTCTTATGATATGTCAAATCTACCGTCAGTTCGGAATGATTTCGAGATGAGAAGAACTGACAAGAAACTCAGCTCGTATTTTTTTTTTTTTTAATGTTGTACATATTTATAATAATACTATTTCATTTAAATTCAAATTTGGGAGAATAGAGTGACCACCAGCATATGCTATATAAAAAAAATAAAAAAAAAATCAAAAAATCAAATCAGTGTTCGCAACCTAATAGAAAATCATTTATTCAAATGAACTTACATTGAAGCACTTTTGAATAGTCATCACATTTATTTTAATCTACATTATATATTTAATTACATTCTATCTACGGCTACGTTAGTCGAGAAGTTTTCATGCATAAAGATAATGATTTGATTTATTTAGAAATTTTGAGATATTGATTCGATTAACAATATTTTTTATAATATGTTAAAATATAAAAAAAAATATGAAATAATACGTGCGCTTTCATTGCCTCTTTATATATATTATCCAATAGGTGTATAAATAGAATTATACATAAATATACTTGCCTATAGAACTAGATAGTTTCCTTATTACTGTGATACTAAACCACTTCTTTTTGAGCGCAAAATCAGACAAAAATCCAAACGGGAAGCTCATTATGAATATAACCATGTATGGCAACGCTGACATTAAACCATTCTGTAAAGAAAGAAATAAATATCATCATAATTTCATATATATTACTATTTAAGTAATTCATAATAAATAAATATGATTCTATATACATAAAACCTTAAAAACCTTAAAAAATATAATATAAAAACTAAAATATATATTAAATGGAGACTCCATTTTCAAATATCAAAATATCTTTATTCATGTAGGTCTATTACAGACTCTTATGATATGTCAAATCTACCGTCAGTTCGGAATGATATCGAGATGAGAAGAACTGACAAAATACTCAGCTCGTATTTTTTTTAAATAATAGTGGAACATGTTTATAATAATATACAGTCATTAAAATTCAAATTTGGGAGAATAGAGTGACCACCAGCATATGCACCAGCATATTTAATATATATTTTCAAGGTTCCAATGCATCACGCAGAAATACAGAGATACATATCTAAAAACATAACATCATATATTTTTCCATTATTCCTTACATTAGTGTCTTGTCACGCCTGATTTCTAGTCTGTAACAGTTTTTGCATATAAAAGGCTTCTTGAAGCGTACGAGCCTCGAAGTAATGAAGTTGGTAGCTCCTTCAGCGTGACTGACATAATGATAACCTATTACCGAATTTACACACGACCGCTGAAAGAAGTATATAGATCGAATGTTTTTTATTGTTCCCTCATATTCTTGTTAATGTAATAAACTGAAATAAGTGAATAATTGCAAAGTAAGGGAAGCCTATATATTTATGGACGCCCCCTAACATAAACTCTGCTTACAGTGGGACTAGATGGCGCTGTGTTAATTGTCCAGCATTATTTATTTATTTGTGTGTGTGAAGTGTAATGCGGAAGTGTGATATAATCTTAAGTTTAAATGATATCACAAGCAATCAATTGCATGAATTCAAACAAAAATTACAAATCGACTTTTAGGCAAATTTGCCGCAATGTGCCCGCACGGTGGCAGCGTGTCTCCAGCGCTGCGGTCACGCTACTTTGTGAATCTATATATTCAAATTCAAATTAAAAAATCATTTATTCATGTAGGACATTTTAGCCGCTTATAAACGTCAAATTTTTACATTCTAATTTTAATTTTTTCCCTACCGTCCAGTTCGGTATATAGATCCAATTGAGAAGAACTGGCAAGAAACTCAATTGAATATATTAATGTAAATAAAGAACACGCGGTTGCAGCGCCCCACCCGCGCTGCGGCCACGCATTAGTTCATTGATCGACTAGTGACTACGCGCACGTATTGTTTTGAACTAGTCAGGTTGGAAAGTTTAACGATGCAGTACGTAGTTTCACAATGGATTATGTACATTCGTCATTCATTCATGATTCTCAAACCTAGCGATACCAGTGCGTCTGCAGCGCTGCAGACGCGCTGCCACCGTGCAGGCACTCTGCGGCAAATTTGAAGGCGCCCTAAAAGTCGATTTGTAATTTTTGTTTGAATTCATGCAGTTGATTGCTTGTGATATCATTTAAACTTAAGATTATATCACTATTCCGTTCTATATGTATAAACTAAATCCATTTGTCACACTTTGTCACACCAACACACACAAATAAATAAATAACTCTGGACAATTAACACAGCGCCATCTAGTACCACGGTAAGCAGAGTTTGTGTTAGGGGCGTCCATAAATTACGTGAGGAATTGTTTTTATTTTTCTGTAGGTGAGATGTCGTGAGATTTTATTAAACCCCCTCCCCCAACCCTCAATAACCCTATTTCAAAATGTGGGTTTCTTACGTAAACGCGTTGGATTGTTATTGAAAAAAGAAAAAAAAATGCTTCGTTATTTTATTTACGACTAGTTAAGACTAATAATCAATATTGCTGATAGTTATACATAAGTGTAATAAGCATGTACAATCTGAATTTAATGTACCAAAATAGTATAATTTCTTTTTGTTTCAATCAGAAAAAAAAATTGCGTGATATTTGCTGAGACCCCTCTCTCTCCAATTAGATTAGATGAGATTTGAATCGATACCCTCCCCCCTTAAACACCTCACGTAATTTATGGACGCCCCCTTATGGGCCCTAGACCACTGATAGTAAATACTTTCATACTTTTTTTTTAAATACATACGAGTACATAATATACATAGCAAACACCCAGACCGATATAAACAATCATACTCATGAATACAAAAGTATTGTACGTGTGTATGTAAATCTTCACCATGAAAAGAATGGAACCTAAACCTGGAGAATAGGTTAAGCACACCGCACACCATGTGTTCGGTGTTTTATAACAATGGAGTAATAAAGTTATCAAGTGCTAGCCAAACTTAATTTCACGACATTTCTGTCTCGTGTCTGTGAGACTTAGTAATTCACTAATTACTAAGCCACGAGCTCTCAATAGTAATATTTCAATTCAACTCACCGCTGTAATATCGACTCCTAAAACTTGGGTCATATAAATCGGTATTTGTGTCATCAGAGTCCAGAAACCAAATTCATGACCGCTGTGAACGAGGATCAATGCGTTAAATGGCAATGAGAATATTGAAGCTTTCCACGGAGTCGGCAATATCTGAAAACAAGACAGGGTACTTAGTTAAATTATATACGTCACTGATAAAGTCCTACAAATTGTAAGTAAGGTGTAATTTGCATGAACACAAAGAGTGAAACCGATTGAAATTTGAGTATTTTTAATTTCGTAAAATGTATATTATGAAAATAAAAAAATATATAAAGAGAATAGAAAATTCCTTATTCAAATAATCTTAATATGTTTTTGTCTTCCATTGATTCCTGTTTGGAGTTCATCATTCAAGCAGTCCATTCATCTCTTTTGACAATTACCAACACTATTTACTGAGTGGAAGAAAATATACAATATTAGCATTGCTGTGCTCCAGTCAAGTTGTGATCCAAATTAGTCTAAATGTCGAATGAGTGAACCATATTTACTTTAAAATTATATACATATATCAAGATTTGATTCAATCAATCGATGATTGAGAAGCAGAAAGAGGTCTAAACCATTCTTATTTTTTGATCTCAGTACCTTTTCTTCACCAGTATGTCCCAGTGAGGTTTGTATATAGATTCTCTCTTTATCACTTATAATTGTCGAAGTCTTCGGAGATGATGAGCCTAAGAATAAATAGATGGCAGTCCAGATTAAACCTAACGTGCCGTTTACGTAGAATATAGCAGGCCAACCCCAATTATCTGCTACGAAGCCCGATGCCATTAGTTGTACTGCTGTACCTAAATGGGCTCCTGAAAATGAAAACCATTAAGAATTGGTATCACTTCACACTCACATTGTAGGATCTAAATTAGTGTTTCCCAACGTGGGCCCCACGTCACAATTAAATTTCAAAATAGGGAAGGGGGGGGGGGCAATTTGAAAATATAGTAGATATGACACGTTTAACCCTGGAGACATGGGGCAGGGGCACAAAAAAAGTTGGGAATCACTGATCTAAATGAATGGTTTTGGTTGGTTTCAAAACAACATCCAACTGGTAACTAACGAGATTAGCGAAGTTTTCATCAGAACTTTTAAAAAAATATATAAATTCAAGTTTATCAGGGCCAGGGTTGTCAGGGTTATACATAGATGCTGATTTGGGTTATAAAATGCTTAAATATTTTCTATATCAAAACGATCATTTTGTAACTTTACAAAGTGTACATTTTGTACGACCTAACACTTTGGAAAAGTAATCAAAAGTGAAGAATAAACAAACCTGAGTATATTAAGGTCCCAAGACGATTCCTTTCATCCAAAGGAACCCATTTACTGATAAGGTTATTCACAGAGGGATAGAGAAATCCTTGAGACAAACCTAGAAGTATGCGACAAGTGCGAAGCGATTTCCAATCACCCTGAAATTTAAGACATGTTCATAAATTAAATTAAAAAACAATTCAATCATTCAATCGTAAATGTAAAACCAACGCTTTAGTCGGTGGAGCTCTTGCTACTTTCAGGAAACTGTCACTTTCTTTAAAGAAGAATAAAACTAATTAAATTCACGTTGGAGCCTGGAAGGCAAATTGATTTTGGCGTGCGCTTCAGCGCAGTTCTCCGAAATCTGGTAGTTCCTATGCCCAGAACGTATGGATACACTGCTTCGATGTACCACATTGGATTACAATGATTATTTTTTTTGTGTGTTAATTTTAAGTATTTGCGCGCGGCTCAACGAGGTTACTTGTGACCCAACAGCTGGTAGCTGCTTTGCCCAGAGGCTAAGTATGGCCATTCAAAAAGGTAATGCTGCCAGTATCTTGGGTAGAATGCCTCCATGCATGCAGCCGTATTGGATTATAATGGTTGTTTTTTTATGTTTAAATTACTAATTATTTATTGTTAGCAGATTATATGATATTTAAGAAAAGTAACCTTTTGCTAATTAAATGTAATTCTTTCTGACTTTTTACAGAAACAAAAGGATTCCAAAATTAATTAAAATAATCTAAATGTACGATACTTACGTTGTACGCGCTTGTTGGAAGCAACAGAGTGATTATTGAGTTGATGATAATACATAATATGATGACCACTTTCCCGCCAAATCTGGCAGACACTTCGCCGGCAGGTATTTGTAGGAACCCGTAGCCCCAGAAGAATGACGAGATGATCACATTTTGAATGGACGCACTCCAATCGAAGGACTATTAAATAGAAACGAAAAATTCATTCTTACCAGCTATAATTATAATTTATTTCAATATGTATTAAGTCATATTCTACTTTAATTTATTATTGTTGTTAAAGGACTTATCCCATACCATATTTCATATCTTGTAAATTCCTTCAAACAGCATATCAAGCGAATAAGCGGTCATAACATATTTATATATAATAATATGAATAAGTAATAAGTCATTTTTAGTCAAATAAAATATATTTTGAGATAAATATAATATATGTAGGTAGTCTACACTAGTCATGATTGTGTGCTATAATGTCCTATTATGTTTTGCCTTATTTTTTTCTAAATAATTAACATTTTCCGTCAAATGAATTATAAAAAAAAAAACATTACATTATTAGGTATTTAAAAATTCATTTAAGAAGAACATTTGTGGAGTAACCAATTATTTAATTTCCTGTCCTCCTGAAAGCTCCATTATAGCGTCAGATATTTTTTTATAAACTTGTATCGCCATATGGAATACATTGTTTTTGGACATTTGTTCTTTGACTTGACTTAAATTTGTTCCATGTACAATTTCTAAAATTCTAATTCTACAATTCCTAAAAATAAAAAAGTCAAAGATTTAGTGTAGGGGCTCTAAATCTTTGACTTCTTTATTTTTAGGAAATATATATTAATTTTGAGATATTATTTATTGCAGTGTGCTAAACTGCTAGTTAGCTAACCTTGGTCGTCTAGCAGTTTAGCACACCTTTACACGCGATGGTCGCGGGTACGATTCCTTGCACGGCACTGAGATTTGTATTCATAAGTATGGGTGCTTTCTATGTATAATATGTGTATGTATTTACAAAAAAATATCTATGTATTTGTATCAAGCTTGTGTTATCTAGATAATTTCTAGTGCCCATAACACAAGCTTTAGCTAGCATAACTTGGGTCTAGATGGCGCTGTGTGAATTGTCCTGAGATTATTATTATTATTATTTAAAAAAATATATATTGTACATTCCAGATAATATGTTAATCTGTGTTTTTAAATAGTTGTTGCCGATTGAGTATCGGGGTTTCCTTTATATTATTTAACTGGAAAACCCCTGTATAAATTACTGCGTGCTCCTCTAATCTGAAGAACATATGTTATTCCACTTTATTAGATAATCTTAAATTGATATCTATATTAGATTATCGCGGTTTCCCACGTAACTTTACTACTTTCGCCACTGTTGCTATAGGGTAAATACAGCGGCGAAAGTTTTTATATCGGCATTAATGCCAATTCTCAAGTAACTACAATGCTTTTAGTTTTATTTATCGAGAGTACTCTTACCAGAGTCTCCGATTGGGGGCGACTGAACTTAGTTCAATTCAATCCTACTAAGACACAAGCCTGCGCGTTCACCGCTAAGAAAATCCCTTCTGCTGTGGTTCCGTAATTCCAGAACACGTCCATTACTATCTCTAAGAGTATTGAGATTCTCGGTGTCGACATCTCTATCACAGTTGAGTTCCGTAATCACCTCGAAGAAAAGATAAAGCTGGCGTCCAAAAAGTTCGGTGTGCTCAATAGAGTGAAGCGGTACTTCACTGCGGACCAGAGACTCCTATTATGTAAGTCGCAGGTTCGGTGCACATGGAGTACTGCTCCCATCTTTGGGCAGGAGCACCTGGATACCAGATCGATCCTTTTGACTCGATTCAGAGACGTGCTATGAGAATTGTCGATGATCCCAATCTCTCTAGGGGTATCGAGCCACTTAGCTTGAGGCGAGATTTCGCTTCGCTTTGTATGTTCTACCGATTATACAACGGACTGTGTTCTAAGGAATTGTTCGACATAATGCCTACGGCCACCTTTTACTATCGCACCGCTCGCTGTCAACAGGAATTCAGGGAGACTACAGCATGGGGTCTTTCAAGAAGGGTATATTAAAGTTTCTTAGGTCTCGGCAATGCGCACATGACACCCCTGGTGTTTCAGGCGTCCATAGGCTACGGTAAACGTTTACCATCAGATGGGTCGTATGCATGTTTTCCACCATCGTAATATAAAAAAAAGTTATATATTTAGCCGGTATAAAATAAAATAAAACTAAAATGTAATGTATGGTATGGTATGTTAGACTCCATTCTCCGCAATTAGCCTCACATTCGGGCCTTTGTGAGTTAAATAAATTGTATTTAAAGTAACTTTAATTGCAAAAAGAATCATCGATCTATTCGATATATATAATTTTGAATGTCACACTTATTTATATTTAATCAATAGTCTAAAAAATAAGTTTATAGCTTCTAACATTAAAAATCACGATACCTCCAGACAAATTTTCGTCTCCCCTTTCAACCCCTTACAACTTTTTTATCGCATTAAAAATTAGCCTTTGTCCTTTCCCAGAGTCTAAACTATCAGTGTACAAAATTTAATTTAAATCGGTTCTGTACTTTTGCGGTGAAAGCGAGACAGATAGACACAGTTACTTTCGCATTTATAATATTAGTAAGGAGTAAGGATTATTAGAAATTGATATAATAAAATAAATGAAAAGAAAAGTAACTTATTGCATAGCGTTAAGTGTTACCAATACCTTACATTATCATTGTCTGGATCTATCATAGCGATGAGGGCTGTGCTCATGTTGGCCCTTAGAAATTGATACAATAAAAGAAAAGAAAGGAAACTTATTACATAGTGAAGTGTGTAGTGTTGAGTGTTAGCAATACCTTACATTATCATTGTCTGGATCCGTCATAGCGACGAGGGCTATGCTCATGTTGGCTCTTAGAAATTGATATAATAAAAGAAAAGAAAAGAAACTTATTGCATAGTGTAGTTTGGAGTGATAAGCGACGAGGGCTAGCCTAGTGTTGACCCTTAACAATCGATGTAATAAAAGAAAAGAAAAGAAACACATTGTACAGGGAAGTGTGGAGTGTTACCAATACCTTACATTATCATTGTCTGGATCCGTCATAGCGACGAGGGCTATGCTCATGTTGGCTCTTAGAAATTGATATAATAAAAGAAAAGAAAAGAAACTTATTGCATAGTGTAGTTTGGAGTGATAAGCGACGAGGGCTAGCCTAGTGTTGACCCTTAACAATCGATGTAATAAAAGAAAAGAAAAGAAACACATTGTACAGGGAAGTGTGGAGTGTTACCAATACCTTACATTATCATTGTCTGGATCCGTCATAGCGACGAGGGCTATGCTCATGTTGGCTCTTAGAAATTGATATAATAAAAGAAAAGAAAAGAAACTTATTGCATAGTGTAGTTTGGAGTGATAAGCGACGAGGGCTAGCCTAGTGTTGACCCTTAACAATCGATGTAATAAAAGAAAAGAAAAGAAACACATTGTACAGGGAAGTGTGGAGTGTTACCAATACCTTACATTATCATTGTCTGGATCAGTCATAGCGACGAGGGCTATGCTCTTGTTGGCTATTAGAAATTGATATAATAAAAGAAAAGAAAAGAAACTTATTGCATAGTGTAGTTTGGAGTGATAAGCGACGAGGGCTAGCCTAGTGTTGACCCTTAACAATCGATGTAATAAAAGAAAAGAAAAGAAACACATTGTACAGGGAAATGGAGTGTTACCAATACCTTACATTATCATTGTCTGGATCCGTCATAGCGACGAGGGCTATGCTCATGTTGGCTCTTAGAAATTGATATAATAAAAGAAAAGAAAAGAAACTTATTGCATAGTGTAGTTTGGAGTGATAAGCGACGAAGGCTAGCCTAGTGTTGACCCTTAACAATCGATGTAATAAAAGAAAAGAAAAGAAACACATTGTACAGGAAGTGTGGAGTGTTACCAATACCTTACATTATCATTGTCTGGATCCGTCATAGCTACGAGGGCTATACTCATGTTGGCTCTCATTCCTAGCGCCACCATCATTGCCAAGAACAGCATCAGCACTTGTAAATGTCGTATACCCATAATTGATTCTGGAATGTACATATGTAATTACTGTTTTATCTAAAATAAAAGTAGCCTATGTTACTTTTTATTACATCAGCTATCTGCCAATCCCTAAAGTCCCGTCCAAATCGGTCTAGCCATTTCTGAGATTAGCCGGAACAAATAAACAGACAGACAGACAGACAAAAATTGTAAAAAATGTTATTTTGGTGAATACGGTATGTATTTATATATATTCTTTGCACTTTTAAATACAGTAGTAAACTTAAATATATACAGAGTCATAAAAGATGGACTTGTCTCTAAAAGAGATCTCTACTAGTCAACCCAAGAGTGAGGCATAACAATTAAGCATAACAAACAGAAACTACAATATTATTTCTATGTATATATGTATAGATTAGATGATAACTTACTTGGTTTTTCGACATCCGTAACTTCTTCTACGATAGTCTCCATTATTTTATTTTGTATTTATTGACACGGTCTGATACGGAAAATAAAAAAAAATGACTAGATAAAACAACGCGAGTGCTCCGCGTCCGAGCGCACTGTGTTATTGATAAACAGATGAGTTCTCTATCAAGACTAATCGAGATTAGAGTCTCTATGAAACAACTATTAAATTGATTGATGATAATCTGAGATTTAATTCTCGGATACGAACAAAATGTTACGCGTAAAAAACCCGATTTTTTTCTGGTAAATTTGACAAATATCAATATAGTACTTGAGTTAATAAAATTATTGTTGTTAAAGTAGATTGTAATCCATAAAATAGTATTGTTTGCATGCAGCGCCAATAGATGGCGCTGTACGAACGTTAGCGCGTTTCACAAAATTGAAACGCGCTAACGTTTCGTTTTATAGAAAGTCCATATGTATTTTGCTTAATAACAAATTTTGTTAACGTCCGGTGAAGCTGTAAAGGCCAGCTGCGGGCAACAGCATTAGAGTAGTCCGAAAAAAAAAATCAAACGGGGATCGAAATTACGACGGCCTGAGCCGAGGTTCGAACCCCTAGTGGTGCTCAGACTAAAATCGTATCTGTCAGGCGGGAGGTGGCTTTCAAGTCCTCCCGCGCGTTTGGAATTCCATCTGTATACACTCCCTGTCCTCTGGTGAAGCTGTAAGGCCAGCTGCGGTTAACAGCATTAGAGTAGCATATTTTTATTTATTATTACAATAGGACCGTGTGATTTTAACAATTGTTATCCTATTTAATTGATCTTTCGTATTGAATACTCATTTATATTGAGAGAGAGCTGTTTTGTTAACCTTTATCTATACATAAAATAAAATTGGTGTGTCTGTTTGTAATATTGAAATAACCGTTTTTTACTACATGCATATTAATATAAATACGGTACATACACCAAAATAACATTTTTTACATATTTTGTCTGTCTGTCTATCGGTCTGTTTGTTCCGGCTAATCTTTGAAATGGCTGGACCCATTTTGACGGTACTTCTTTTGGCAGGTAGCTGATGTAATAAGGAGTAACTTAACTACTACTACTACTTTTATTTAAGAAATAAAGCTTAATTCCACACGGACGAAGTCACTAATAAATAATATCATCTGAAATTAACAAAGTACATGCAACAGTTTAACAATTTTAGTTTTAGGAAAATTAAAACGTATAAAATACTAGCTGCGCCCACGGTTTCACCAGCAGCCATTTTGTAGCCTGTATATTACTCTGATGTATAAACTATATGTCTGTATAGTTTCATCAAAATCCGTTTCGCAGTTTTTCCCTAAAAGAATAATCAATAAGTCCACATTCACAAACTTTCGCGTTTATAATTGCCTAAACTACTAAGTTTAATGATATTTGTTTAAAAAAATATGTGTGATATACCGAGTTACTTAAAGGTTAATTGGTAGAATGCTTCTAGTATTAAGTGCCCTGATTTCTTTGTGAAATAAATAGTGTACTTATAGAATAGAATAGAATAGAATAGAAAATCATTTATTCAAATAAACTTAATTTAAGCACTTTTGAATAGTCAACATTTTTTTAAATCTACCGCTTATTCGGAAAGCTGTCTCATCACAAGAAGAATAAGCAAGAAACTTGTGTGTTGCTCTTTTAAACAATCCTTGTAAGTTCACATTTTACAAGTCGAAACGTGTGAATACAAACTACCAACCAGCACTAATTTATTTAGGCTCAAATATAAAAACACAATAAGATTAAATCTGTCGTAGTGATAAGAGCAGACCAGTCCCTACAAGCAGCACTCGTATAAAATTAGAGCTTTTTGATACCTCCTTACCTTCTACTCTCCCACCAATTCATACAAACATATTTAATTTTTAAGTTTATATAGATGGATGTTTGTTGCTCTTTCATGCAAAAACTACTCAACGGATTTTGATGAAACTTTACAGAAATGTAGCTTATAAACCAGAATATATATAGATTATAAAAATTCAATATGTAAATTGGGCGAAATATAAAGTAAGACTGTCGCAGACGAAGTTTCGCAGGTTATAACATATGATTGGTCTATACTGGACCGTAGCTATAGTTATGTATGTATCTGCCGGCCACCCACCGTTTGTGTATATTACAATCAGTCGGCAAAATACAACCGTAAAGACACAACGTAGTTTTATAATATAATATAAATAGTATAAATTACAAAACAAAATTCCACTTCTGCCAAGGCAAACTAAATACAGCTTCAACCCAACCAACAACATATTTCGAAACTTATATTTTAACAAGGTTTCGGAATAAATCCAAGTGTACGCCTTGTGGAACTCCCGGAAACAAAATCGGATGTATGACGTAGCAAATTCATACGCAAAAAACCCAAAATGTCGATAACTTAATATTACACAATATCAAATCAAGGAAACGATACGTGTGATAACACGTACTAGACATCCGTTGTAATGTGAATATTATTCATACATATAAAGATCATAAAACAAGAAAACCGGGCGAGGAGATAGGTAGATAAAATTCAAGATTAGGTAGGTACTTATTAAACCTAAATATTACAGATTGTAGTACTTATCTTGTTTGATAGATCTGAGCCGTAAAACATGTGCATAGGTAAATATAAACATACTTTACAACCAGTGCACGCGGTTTCACTCGCGTTAGATTTCAATAAAAATATAGCCTGTGTTATGCTGATAAATACGTAACGCAACGTAGACAATATGGAGAGACTAATGGTAACAGGCAAGATAGAGGGTAAAAGACCTCGAGGCCGAAGTCCCACTCGATGGTCAGACCAGGTATCCCGTCAGCTAAACATTACTGTCAGCGTCGCACTACACCAGGCGTCTGAGCGCAACCGATGGCGACAGCTGGTCGACAAGATACTGTAGAGTCGCGATCCTCAGCAGTGAGGGAACGATTAAGAAGAAGAAGATGTGTTATTCGGATGCATAAGTTATATTACTGTAAAGTTCCATCAAAATCCGTTCAGTAGTTTTGCGTGAAAGAGTAACAAACATCCTCGTTCGACTTCGTTCGCGCAGCGCACGCAAAATTTTCACCGTTTTTGATGCCGTTTTTTACTGATGCTTCATTTCTATTGGTAGTAGCGTAATGTTATAGTCTAAAACCTTCCTCGACAAATGTACTATCCAACACAAAAATAATTTTTCTATTTGAACCAGTAGTTCCTGAGATTAGCGCGTTCAAACAAACAAAATCTTCAGCTTTATAATATTAGTATAGACTAGCTGACTAGCGCAACTTCGTCTGCGTTTCATTTCCATTATTTTGCAATATTTTTCATTGCAGCTCCGCTCCTATTGGTCGTAACGTAATTTTTTTATATCTACTAGTAGTTCTTGAGATTAGCGCGTTCATACAAACAAACAAAATCTTTAGCTTTATATATTTTTTTTTATATTTAAATACATTTTTCCACAGACATATTAGTCCGTGCCTTTTTTAATTTACTTTAATATTATAATATTTATTTAATTTCCATTTTTGTACAACTCCAGCCGAGATGTTACAATTTGCCTAACAGTGACACCGAGGCAGACCTTATCCGTCTGGCCCAGAACCACCGCTGGCCGGCCGGGTGAGTTGACAACATGCAGTGTCACCCATCTTTATTTGGAGGATTAGATTTATCAATATGCATATACAATTATATAAATCTTACACTACTATATTATAAGTATAGTTTGTGTTTGTATGAACGCAAAGTTCATCTGGCGCTCATCAGACACATTTGATACCTCCGCTTCACTCCTACTTAATACATACCACAACAATATACATTCATTTTTTATTTCTAATCTGTTGTAATTATTTCTTTTTTTTTTTTACTACTATGGTGGCAATCAATCATACGGCCCATCTGATGGTAAATGGTTACCGTAGCCTCTGAACGCCTGAAACACCAGGGGTATCACTTGCGCGTTGCCGACCCTTAAGAAACCTTAATATACCCTTCTTGAAAAACCCCATGCTGTAGTCTCGTGGGAAAACCTCGGCAGGAAGTTCATTCCACAATCTAAGTGTACGCGGGAGGAAACTCCTCTGAAACCGCACTGTCCGAGACCACTTAGGTTCCAGTGTGTGGGGATGAATTCCCTGTCGATGGCGAGCGGTGCGGTGGTAAAAGGTGGCTGTCGGCATCATGTCGAACAATTCCTCAGAACACAGTCCGTTGTATAATCGGTAGAACACACAAAGCGAGGCGAAGTCTCGCCTCAAGCTGAGTGGCTCGATACCGCCAGAGAGATTGGGATCATCGACAATTCTTTCTAAGAAATAAAATCATTTCTTCTATATTTCAGCTACCAGCACCAATTCTGTGTTGGAGTCTGAAACTCCTATATCTAATAATGTACAACTGTTAGAACCTTTGGCTGCTGTCGATGAGATGACACAGCCAGAGGCACAAAGTGACCAAATGTCTAATGATATACCGGCTGATTTCCCACCTGAGATGTCAACAGAAGGCCAAGGTTCTCGTCTGATACGTCGACGACGTGAAAGGATACACTTCACTTTGGATGCAGCTAGAAGTACATTTGTGGATATATATATGTCTTCAACAATAAGAAAGACAACCAGTATTTTGGAGAAAATGTTTCACACATTGAATAGTATAGCAGATGGAATTGACAGGTAAATAATTATATGTATGAACTAGCTGTACCCGCGACTTCGTCCGCGTGGCATTTACTTTATTTTTCTAAAATCAAATAATTTTTCTAAAATAAAAGTAGCCCAAGTTACTTCTTATTACATCAGCTACCTGCCAAAAAAGCTCCCGTCAAAATCGGCCCAGCCATTTCAGAGATTACCCGAAACAAACAGACCGACAGACAAAAATAGTAAAAAGTGTTTTTTTGGTGTATGTACCGTATTTATATTCATATGCATGTAGTAAAAAACGGTTATTTCAATATTACAAACAGACACTCCAATTTTATTTATATATATAGATGAAAAAGGTGCAAAAAC